TAAATTTTAAAAGTTTTGAAGTAATAAGGTTGAGATAAAAATAAGGTAGAAGTCGAAAACGAAAAGAACCTGCAATTCCGCGCCAAGCGCCATCCTTCTCCTCTTCATCATTTGGACTGGGAAGGAAATATCGTCTCCGCATTTTCAATCCCATCTCAACCCTCTGAATATTCTGCATTTCTCCAGACGTAGAGGAAATATCTCCTCATCCGCTTCGCCGAATAGGTACGTTCCTCTAATCCTCTTCAGTTCGCTCGCTGCTTCTTCACCTTTGCCCAATGGATTCGAATTCGACGAAGATCTCTGCTAAAGCAGCGATGTTTTCGTCAGATTCAACAGAAATTTAGTGGTACATCAAGATTTTTGCCTAGTTACAAACGAATCGGATGCATTTTTTGTGATTTTTTTCCACAGTTTAGCGGTATCCGATACTTGTTAAGCTGATTCGACTATGTACCTGAATCTGAGAGTCGATGCAAATAGATTTCTCTGTTTCTGTTTGATAGTGCGATTTTTCTGTGTCTGTATTTCTTTGTTTGATTGATTTCAAAATATTTTTTCTGATGCGTCTTTCTTATTATGATTCATTTCAGTTGCGTTTTTCTTCAGTAAATCAATTTGATTCCAGGTAAAATGTTTCCGAATGCTTTCCTGATAGCTTGAATTCAGTTCACTCGTGGCTTTAAGCTTAGTCAGTTAACGTTTGTGTGGATTTAATTGTTACTGATGTGACTAAGATTTTTTTTGATGATAGGATGAGGTATTTTGAGTCGCTGATAATTTGTTTTTAGGTTCGTTTCTGGTTGATTACTAATTCTGTACTGTTAAAAAGGATAGTGAAGACGCATTGCTTTGAAATGCATTGGATCTTATACTTAACCTCTGTTAGTTATTCTACTGGAATATCATTTCTAAACCATGTCACTTCATAGATGTTTTCTGTGTTGTTGTCCCTTTGAGGCAGCATCAATGACATGTACCTTGGAAAATTTGTGATGACCTAGTGTAGCAAGCACACAAAAAGGAGATTGCCTTTTTCCGTCTGTACGCTGAAGTTTCCATTAAAATACGTAGTTTAATTATGGAAGGTGAAGTAATTACCTGATACAAATGAAATATTCTGAGATAAATTTATTTTTGTCTGTTTTCGATTTTAACTCGGTATCCATATAAAGTATTTAAACAGTAACTTGATTGAGCCATATTGCAAATTTGCAATGATGCAAATCTGGTTGTTGTCTATACTTCAAATGTGACAAAACAGGCAGGGAGAAATATGAGACAGCCATCTTGATTCTCTCCTCAATTGCTTTTTTTTTTTTTCTCCTTTTATAAATTGTTTATTGAATGGGTTTGTAGATCTTTCTGTTTTTGGTTACACCACCTTCTTTCTTGTTGCTCTCTTTCTTTTGTTTTTTCTGTTTTGTACACTATATTTGAAAGTTTTAGAATAAATGCAGTTATTAACTAATCAAGTTCTGCATACTTTGCAGATGGCAGAGTCAAAGAAGGAAACTCTAGCTGTTAATCCAAAAAAGAAAAGTTTGCTGCTCGGTATTCCCATACTTGCATCCATTCAAAGCATGCATGAACACTCTAGTTAAATGTTCTTTTGAGTACCTGGTTACAGATAGTAGTATCTGGAAATGTGCAAGGATATCATGTATTCTTTCTGCAAATGGATAGCTAACTTTGTTGGAATTGTTCTGACAATTGTGTGCATAATATTAGCAAGTTCAGTAAGAGTGAGAAAACATGTAGAGAAGATTTTGAGAAACATTAAAGTCATTCTGAAGTGGGTGGGTGGCTGTGCATATCTCTGAAGTTTTTGTTCCTTAACAAAAACTTGTTAAATTTGTAGCTTTATTTTGGTTGGTACCCTGAAACTTTACATTGCATTATTTTGAAACCCTTGGGCTTCTTGAGAGCAGACCCTTGAGGTTTTTGGTTGACCAACCTATAATTGTTGTTATTTTGGGTACTAAGATTATGCAATTTATTGGAAATTGATCTGAATCATCTGCTAAGATCCCATATCTTAAAGCAGATGATGAAATTGGAAAGGATTTCCTTAGCTCCTGGAAATCAATGTCTGTGACAGAAGATAGTGCTATGGATTTTAGCTTTGACGAGATCCCAATGGGCAAGAAAAAGCCATTTAACTTTGAAAAGCTGTAAGTTCTGACAATTCTTTAGTTCCTAGTTATTGTAAAATGAGGTTCTTGTTGTCTCACAGTTAACCACTGTTGTGTTTTTTTATTATTATTATTATTATTATTATTTCTTAAACCTAGCTGAATTTCTGCTGAATCATGTAGTGTATTGTCAGTTTCTCTTAATTTTTTATTTCTGTGGGGTAACTTGTTTGCGACATTCCTTCTTTGGCACAGTGGCCAAGTTCAGGCTTTATGCATATAGCAAATTCTTTTTACAGACAATTGTTTTTATGCATATATGAATTTGCAACTATTTGCTAAATGCTCATGAAGTCCTCCTTTCTCAGGGATATGGATTTTAATCTGGATGGTGATCTTGATAAGTTATCATCATTCAAAATAGACTTGCCAGACCTTGATTTCTCAAGCCCCTCTGCAAAGTCTGAGGAGAAATCTAAAGAAGAAACTTCTAGTGGAAACAACCAAGGAAAAAAGCAACATTTTGCCTTCTCTTTTGATTTTAATGAGTGAGTGTTTTCCTCTCCTCCTTCTTCTTCTTCAGACTTCTTCTATTCTATTTTATTTTTATTTGGTTTGGACCTTTAAATTGTCTCTTTTTACTTGTGAGTTTCTTTGTTGAGTATGCAAGTCAGCCTGTGTTTTCAATTTCTTAGCCTGGATGGATCTTTGGATGCAGATTGGATGATTTCAATTTTAGTTCAAGTTTAATGGGACGAGAGAAGGCTTGCAAGAAGAGGGTAGATAGTGAAACAGTTACTTTAGATGGGACTAATTCTGAAGGTTCCAAAATCAGCCCAGCATTCAAGGATAATAGCATAACTGCTAAATTTCTAGCACCAGAGGATGCTGCAAATTCAAAGGTTAAGATGGATGAACTGGAGGATTCAGCCAATATGAAGGTTAAGATGGCAGATGTTGGTCCTGGGGCTCAAAATTCCGCAGATGAAGCCTGTCTTTCAAAAACTGCAGCATCTGTAAACTTTGTTGAATCACACGAATCAAGAATTTCACCAGAGAAAATAGTATCTGCCAATGTCAAAGAAACTGATCAGTCAATTACTGTGCCAGATAGGAGTCCCAGGACAGTTTCTTCTCAACCATGCAATCAGCATTCTGTACAGAATTCACCTATCAGTTCTGTTCCAGAGAAAATTTTGACTAGGGACCATATCTCTGATAAGCAGGCAGAAGTTTATTCCCTGGGCACAAAATCAAATGCCATTTCAGCTGAAGAGCAAAATGTTCATGAGAAAACAATGGCTGTTTCAGGATCAAATCAAGCAAAAGTGCAACAGCAGAGTTCATCTCAAGTATCATATACTGGTAAAGGTCAAAAGGAAGGTGGAGATATCAATATGCCATCAGAAATAAAGGATGGTGCAGCATCAGGACAAGGTAATGTTGATCTCAAAAATATTTCTGCTGGAAGCCCATCAACTGAAATAATGCATGATAGCGGAGCCAATAAGAACGTCCAGAATTCAACTCCTAAACATTGTTCAGTCCTGTTGGACAGGTCAGATAATCCACCACTTTTAATTGTGTTGCAAACTTGCTTAATTAATTGAATTGGTCTTGTGACTGATTTTTCAATAAACTTTGGGAATACAAAATTAATGAACAGGTCTTAGTTTCATAATTTTGATTTTTTGGATTTGAGAGACATGTTTCAATTTTTAAAGGAAAACAGAGACACTCATAATACTTGGTCATATTGAATCTAATATCTTTGTTCTCACGTTTTTCATTGTCATTTATAGCAACCATGTTTATATTAGCTTTCAAGTATGGCATGATCGGTGGTTTCTTGGTTAGTAGATGCAGTGAACTGGCAGTCAATAAGCTAAAAGCAAAAAAAGACACAGACGCTGGAGCTATTCGCTCAAGATTTTTCACAAGATCAGAGGAAACTGACTCTCAATCACATCAACCATTGCCAACTGGAGAAAAGGTTTTCTCATTTAGCAGCAGAAGGGTTAGTGCCATGCAAGTATGTCCTGCTAATGAAAAAAGGTGTGTAGTAGTTTAAATTGTAAGTTTCCTTATTTTTGTTTTCAAGGTAGAATCCTTAGAATTTTTCATTTATTTTTTAACAGGGAGGATGTGAATGCCACTGAAGCACAAACGGAAAGAAAATTGCTCGGAAATTCAAAATCAATTTCCAGAGGATTAGCTATAGATAGGCCTGCATTGCCGGAGAGTAAAAACAAGGTTAATGGAGACACCAGGTATGTCATGGGATTCCTCTGAGTATGTGGGTGTGTGTTTTTGTACTCCAGAGGTTTAATCAGAATGGCTAAATCTAGAACCAATAATATAGTTACCATTGGTACCGCTAGATGATATTGTTCTATATGATATTCAACAGGGAAGGTCTGAGTGATGATGCTTTGGAAAATGAAAGGCTTTGTAGTTCAAGGCTGCAAGATAAATTAGTACCAAAAGGAGAAGCTGTCTTGATGAGAAGTGAAAGGAACGCTAGGTAAGTGTATAATACTCACTTACAAATTATATAGAATTTTTCTGAAGCCTTTTTGTGAAGACACCATATTCTTGACTATGCTCTACTGGCAATGTGGGTTTCTTGGAGGTTTCAAGCTAATCCTTCCAGCTCCAGGGAGAAGGAAACTGGCTCCAGTATTCTGACAAGTCTAAATCTTGTACCTCCTGTTCTAAAAGTAGAAGAATCTGTTAGGAACTCAAAGGTTGTTTCTGAAGGGCTAAAAGCTGCCAAGAGGACACCTGATCTCTCTAGCTTGAAAATTTCGAGGTATCATGCCAGTATAGCACTTAATGATGTTCAATTGCTCCTTGTGTGGAAATTCTTTGTCATTTCTTTTTAATGCAATGGGGCTGTGACTGTGATATGTGCCAGAAATAGGACAGGGGGAGCAAACAAAGTTCCATCAAATGTTACACTTCCTAGGGACACTAACTCCTCGATAAGCACAGATGAAAGCAGGGAACTGCCAGCAAAAACGACAACTAAGATTACCCATCCTGGCACTGTTGGCAACATCGAGAAACAAACACCTCTAATCCCATCCTTGAAGCGCAAAACATTTGAGGTCCTCACTCAGTCACTCTTATTTGAACACAGATTTCATCTCTCAAGTCTCAATGTATAATAATTTTCAAAATGAAATTGCTGCTATGGTTTTTAGTTTCAAGTTGCAGTAATCTGTGTTCAAGACATTAAGATCATCTTCTGCAAACACTTATATAGAACTATTTCACAGGAATCAAATGTAGGCTTAATGCCCTTGAAAACCCTAAAAGGACCTTGTGAATCACCAAGTGGAAGCAGGTAATGATGTGCTTTTGATTCTAAATATAACACTCAATTTACTAGTTGGATGATACATACTTTTATTGGTTACCAAAACACTGCAGAAATTTTAGAGAATCCTCTCAAATGGTAGCTGAGAAAGAGGTACTCTATAAACCATGCTTGTGGTTTTGTCAGCAATGAAGCTGCAAAGAAACAAAGTTTCAATGATTTAGTAAATTTTCCAAAAATTTAGTTCACATAAATGTTTTGGCTAGGTTTTCAATCACGTGAATCCTGTAGAGGTTGTGACCACAACAAATATTCTCAATGACTATCAAATGCCTGGATCAGAAGTTCCTCACGAGGTAAATATGGCTGAACTGGAAATTGCTTCAGTAAAAGAGGACAATGGGAATGTGGAAAAGGCTGAAGCATATACAAAAGAGCTTGAGAATGTAAGTAAACCATGGATATGGTCCTTACCACCATCAATGTGCCTTGCACATACTTTGTGTACATTAATTGTGAATAAGAATGTATTCTGAAGTGTTGGTTTCCTTGCAGATATGTAACATTCTGAAAAAGAAACATGATGAAGCCAAAGAATTATTAGTTCGTGCTGTAGTTAATAACAACAACTTACTGATGCTTAATCATCCCATCTTCGAAGAGAAGATATCCTTCCACTTGTCTTTGTTATAACTCTTTCTTTATCACTACAAATTTCTTTGTTTCTTTTTTTCTTTGCTCTGAAATAAAGTGGCTTATTCCTTAGCTTTTTTGAGGCCATATTCCTCGACAATTGAAAACATCCGTGTGGTTCAGAAATTTGCTGCCCTATTGATATCCAAGGAACTTCCTACATGACATAATGATCAGAACAAAAGCTACCATGTAAGGTCTCTCTCTCACATTACCATTTATTTCAATTGGGAAGTTCTTGTTTTATGCAAATTTCAGCCCTCAGACAGGATGTGTGTTCTCTTTTCTCTGAAGTTAGGATCATGGGATCTTTCAACCTGTGTAGTTTACCTCTCGGCTTTCTTCGTGGATGTACTCTCTTTTTAAATTTTTTGCTAACTCATTGCAACTTCTACTCGAGACACAGATCTTTCATGAACTGGTAAAATCTTGGTAGACTCTTGATATACGGCTATAGTTAACATTGTTTCATTAATTTGGCCGGTTTTTGTAAAGTTTTTTTTTTTTTTGGTGGAAACGGTTTTTGTAAAGTTCAGAACCCTAAGTCTGGCTTATCTTGATTCCATGCCATTTATAATCTGAACCACCAGAACATATATACGTAGGTACTCCTATGGACGCAATCCTGAATCTTTGATTTTGAATGAACGTAGAATTTTAATTTACAAACAAAATTAAAATCCTCAAGTGAAACATAAACTTTGTAAATTTGTTCAAATATTTATTGATGTAAATTGTTGACGAACACAACCAGGAAGCAAATTTCTATTAGAAAAAATTCATTGGAGTTGGCTGAAGTAGAACTTGTAATACAAATTTGAATGGGCTTATGCAGTACTTCCTCGCCTGGATTGAAATTATACATTTTTAGCATTTTTTTTTTCTAGTCCAACCATTTTCCTCAATTTGATTCATTCTAATCTAAGAAGTGACATGCTAATTCCTTCTCTACCATTTCAATTTGGGAAGACATGGTTGCATGTGGTGCCCAACTTGATAGGCTTTGCATATATTCTCCAAGGTACTTATTCCACTCCAAATATAATCCTCTATTGAGTTATGAATGCAATGCACGATAACACCCAAGAAAAAAGAAAAGAAATTGACATTTTAATTTGTTAATAAGCAAGGGATTGCTTTATTCCAACACAAGCAAAGCAATAGAAGCAATCCTCCATGTTACAAATACTGTGAAAATTATGCATGCAAGTTTCAACAAAAGATTTGCATTTAATCTAAAACTAATTCATATAAGTGAAGTAACTCTCCTTATATTTAACATATATACTTCTTTATTATATACTCAATATGAGATTTTCTCACTCAACAAATACACCATGAAACCAAGACAAGGTATGCAAAGTGAAACACATAAAATGAGGGCAACAACATTGTCAAAGGTAATTGTAATTTCATGGCTTCCGCAGGATGGTGGTATCTGCAATCATGGAAGTCACCACATAAGGATCCATGTTGGAAGCAGGCCTCCTGTCCTCAAAGTATCCTTTTCCTGCTTTCTCTGTGTCTCGTCCAACACGAATGGATGCTCCACGGTTTGCAACACCCTATTGGCACATCACAAAAACAAAACAATCAACATTGCAAGTATGGAATTGCAAATTAACAGAATGAAGCACGCCTTCTATTATCCCAAAAAATCTCCTTAATATGTGGCAGATGAAATAGCGTGTCACTTGCTTTGCTCAAAACAAGAAAGATTTCTCCGAGAACCCTCTCTTCTTTTCAAGTGCAGAACTCAGTTTGTGAATTGATGGAAAAACGTCGTAAACTGCACCTTCAAGATCAGACAATTGGCAGAAACAAGAGATGAACTTCCTACACTAAAGGGGTTATACAACAAAATACCCTGGATATGATTCCAATGACTCCTCAAAACTAATGTAATCAACAAAAGTTAAGACTGCAAGGAAAATAAATGATCACTAAACTACTGAAAATCTAAATGAACTTTAAAAACGCAAACTGGGTTGAAACAGAGCTTAAAAAAGAAATTTAATTGCAGCAAAAATAAATTAAGTTAAAGTAAATAAAACCGAAAACAAGAAAAATCTATTGACAGTATGAAATATAAATGACAGAAATAGAATTGAACATGAAATTAAATGTCGACATCATTTCATTTAATTAAAAAGAACTTAAAAAATAGAAAAGGAAAAGAAGCAATCCGATCACAAAGAAATACTACTAAAGGCAATGAAACTCACCATTACAAATCTGACAAAAGAAGAACTGAATTGCTAAACTAATCTAAGCTGAAGTGTAGAGTTAAAACTAAACTAAAGGACTTGAAACTAAGATGATTCTGAGTATAAAGAGAAATTGTGATGAGTTTGTTGTGTGAGATGTCGATCTTTTACTTGATCTTATCATTAGGTATTTATAGCACCTTGGCAACATAGTGGAGATTTGCGGCAGCATCCTAAAAAACCAATAGCAGCGTGGTATTTGAAATAAATCAATTAATTTATTTATGTTGCTGATTATCCTCCTGGAAACTTGCAACAAATGAACGGTTTTGTTGTCGTTGTAGAAATAATCACTCAATCTTATCTGAAAAGATTCAAACCAACTTTCAACCAATAAAATATCTGCCAACATAGATAACACGTGATAGCACTCTATTTGTTGTAAAATTAGTTGTAAACACCTTCTGTTTTGTATTGTATTTAATACCCATTTAAAGGTGTTGATGTTAACTTTTTCGCGTCGTCCAG